TTAGATGCACTGTTATCAATTGTGCTTAGCCGTACATGTTCATATCCTTGAAGATGTATCATGGAAGTGTTGCAGCCTAGAAGATACAAATTTAACTAACAAGTTAAAAGTGCATGAGTCAAAAACTGAAAAGCAATAATATTCTGAGTAGAGGTTCTAATAGTGGCACAAATCAAGTTACAGAGGTAAGGTGGTTCCATTGCCATCCTTACTCTAACTTAATTCTTATTTTTTTAATTTAAATTTGTTATTAATTTCAGTGAAAATTTACAGAGGCTTTGGATTTCCATTCATTCATTGTTGTAGATTTGTCCCCTCCCAAGGCTCCCCTCCACCAGACATTACCCTCTTGGAAAAGTAAAAGAAAAGATTCTTTCATTATTTTACAAACCCTCCCGCAGGTCCACTCCACCATGTAGCCATCGCTCTAGACTCCTGTCATGACAGAAATACCTAATCACATATCTCTTTTAAACAGTTTTCTCCCTTCTCTGTTTCAGAGCAGCATACATTATTGAACCCACCTTACTCAGTCTCTCCCCAACCCCAAGGACAGTCCCATTCTACAACAGTGGCACCATGCAATATTTGTCCCTTTGTGACTGGGACATTTCACTCAGCATAATGTTCTCCAGAGTCAACCATTTTGAGTAATATTGCATGAGTTCCTTGTTTTTTAATGCAGCATAGTATTCCATTGTGCGAATATACCACAGCTTCTCTAGCCATTCGTTTGTTGATGGGCACTTAGGCTGTTTAATAATATAATATTTTTAAGTATGATTGTTTATCTATTTCATTAACACTGGAGCTTCGTGAGAGCAGGACCCATATCCTTTATTCACTGTTGTTTTCTTTTTCAAGAAAAAGAAAATTCATAATGTTTTACATGAAAATTTACACAGCAAATTAGGTTTCCGTTTAACAAATTGTATACACACTGTTTATAACATTGGTTGCTGTTTTCACCGTCAAATTATTCCCATCAGTCTCATTATTTCCATTCTATGGGAGCTCTGATAGCCTAATGGACAGTGTGTTACGCTGCCAACCCAAAGGCAGGCAGTTCGACTCTTATCAGTTCCTCCTCAGGAGAAAGATGGGCAGTCTCCTCCCATGCAGGCTACAGGCTCTAAAAACCCACTAGAGGATCAGCCAGGAGTCAGTTCCAGCTTGATGGGAATTGAGTGAATTTTCCATTTCCGTTGACCTAGCTTTCCTTTCTTTTGCTGATCATCTTTCCTTTTTGAGTAAATGTTGACTGTTTGGCTTCATATACTTGATTGTTTAAGGAAGCATATTATTCATGGGTGACATTATTCATTATGTTAGCCAGTCGATTATTTGGCTGACTTCTAGTTCCAAGTTCAAAGTGCAACAGCCTCAGAGGTTCCTCTGTCTTCATTGATCCAGTAAGTTTGGCCATTTTTAGGAATTTTCATTTTGTTTACATTTTCTCTCATTTCTATCTGAGATCTGCTGTCTCCCAGGTCCTAGTCGTAGTAGCCAGGTATGATCTAGTTTTGGTTGAAGTGCTAATTTTCTGTCCTAGTAGGCAGTTAACTTATTAGATATTGTTGTTGCTTTTGTTATTGTGTACCATCAAGTCAGAACTGACTCATAGCTGACCCTCCAGAGGGTTTTCAGAGGCAGTAAATTGCATGGTGGGAGATCGCTTATCCTTCTCCTGTGGAGCAGCTGGTGGATTCGAGCCACAATCCTTGGGCTTGGCACTCCTTGGCCACTAAGCCACCAGAGCTCCCTAAATTACTAGATTGTTGTTGTTGTTGTTGTATACCCTTGAGTCAGAACTGACCCTTGGCTGACCCTTGGCAGGTTTTCAGAGCAGTTAATCACATGGGAGGAGATTTCCCATACTTCTCTCACAGAGCATCTGGTGGCCTCAAACCACATGCCTTAGGGATTGCAGTGCAGACTTTTGCCACTAGGCCACCACTCTGAATTTTGGAAGTATATTTTAACATTGTCAGGACATACCTATTTTTGTCTTGCCTTTATCCCTCAGGCAAATCCCTTAGTCCTAGAACTGAGGCCATTCTGAAGTAATGGAAAGCCTGAGATGTCTAACAGCTCTTCTAACTTGATGGAACTCACACTTCAAACCCTGCGTCTATAGCCGTGGTCAGCAGCTGCGATTTCTGCTTACTCTTTCAGCCCCACAGCTTGTGCTTTCCACTGGGTTCCTAAGAATTGGCCCTGCAAATGTGCTGTCCTGGAATTAAACAAAGTTTTGGCTTACCCCTTTTTCTCCCTTTATGTGACTTCACTGCCACCCTGGCAGCTCTGTACTCTGTCCTCCAATAAGGCGAACAACTCTGTTGAACTTCTAGCTTCCCAGCACTGCATGGACTGGAGAGCATTCTCAAGAGAAAAGG